TGGTAATGATTGGATTAAAATTTATGAAATATCGTCATATAATCTTTAATAATCACCAAATCAAAAAAATTCGCCCACATGATTTAGCAATTGAAATATAATTATATAGTTTCACCTGACATTTTAATATGACTGAAAATATTTAATTAAATTTATAATAAAATATATGCTCTATTATTTGCTTAAAATAAATTTACTTTTTACACCTACTAAATATGTATGTGATTTTTGCGTAAATAAAATTGCTCACTAATAAATTTGGGATCGTTATGGGCTATGGTTATTACATAGAACAACAATTATCTGATTAATGAGCCCCTTAACGTTCATGCAAATCATAAGAGGCGATATAACATACTATAGTTATGACATCTATGTATTACATCCAATAGTATCACTAGATATATGCATACATAATTTTTCACATAAAGTACATTAGCTGCTCATGCGTTTTATATATTTTTCCTTTTGGATCTTTTACTGGACGGACGAATTGATAATTGTTGTGGTTACAATTAAAGATTGTAGAAAATATTAACATTCATTGTTAAATTTATAGCGCTTTGCAATAAAGTGTGATATCATGATTGCATGATGATGATAAAGAGAAATCTCCGAGATTCTAATAATGAATCAGATTTGAAATTGTATAGAATTGTATACATATTTTATATACAATTATTTTTTTAATCATGCTTTGATTAGTGATCGATATAAACATAATTATTACATATTTATGATTAAATCAGTATAAAGCTATTATATTTTTATTTTTTTTTATACATTTCTCTTGATAAATAACTAAAATGGCCGATATTCAAAAAACCAAATTAAAGTATCGTCGAGGAGCTTGTTTTAGTTGCCGGTAATGCATGTTTTGTGGAATTGATCTACAACAGGAAAAATGTAATTGTGACTTGTCTAATGTGCCATATAGAGGTAACCGAACAGATACTGTAAAATATGCATTTACAAGAATCTTCAATCCGAATTGGATTAAAGAAAAAGTAGACTTTGTCCAGCAAAAAATAAAAAATTATAATTATTCATTAAGTTCAAAAGAGTATTTTAGTTTTACTTTGTGCGCTCACTGCAATAGTAATTTGTTAAGATTATCCTCAAAAGCAAAAAAGATCCAAATACATAAAGAAGGTTTGCAACTTGTGTTACTGAATAATTATCATAATGTAAATATATTATACGCCATTTCAAATCATTACTATAAGCAGAAGGCATGCTAACAAGGATTTTTTTTAACGAAGGTTTTTTTGAAATTAAAATAGAACGATAATGTAACAGTTACGGTAATATACTAGAATCTGTAAGATTCTTAACTGTTAAAGAATTAAAAAATCTACTAGAATCGGCTGATTTCACGTGATTTCACATGATATCATGATCTGCAGATGTCACACTTTATTGCAAAGTATCGCTTAATTGTAAATCGATTGAATTAAAATCGATTATTTTTTATCGATTGTACATCGATTATTATCGATTTTTCTAATCGATTACAATTGCTCCTGTAGCCGGTAATCGATATCCACCCTATTTAAAAATTTCTCGATGCATAGCGATAGTGCGATGTATACATCAAATTTGATTTAATTTTCTTTTAAATTATTAAAAAAATAAATCAGTAACATATTTATAATAAAAACAGACAAATTTGTGTTGGTTTACAATTTAAAAGATAACTATTGCTAATACAGTAATACCGTTATAACGATAATTTGATAAACATAACGTCTCGTTAATTCTGACTAGTATTATGATGATTACCCTCTAAAAAAAGGTTTAGCCCACAATAACTCTGAAAACATGTGATAGGTTTATTTGAAATCTAACTCATTATCCGCAACTTTAACGTTAAAGGATTCGAGCATAAATGTCGAGCTATCGACTTGTGAAAACCAATTTATAGATACTACCACTGTATTACAATATTTTAAAGATTATCGTTATAACAAAATATAGTAGAATTCATAATTCTTGAATTTCAAGATTTATCTTATATTATGTTGGCAAATCCTAAATAATATGATGTTATGTTGTCAATTAACATTATTAAGTATAAGCAAGAGATATCAAAAATCATTGTCCTTTTTTTAGTTAGTTGTGAATACATTATGTGAATACTTTAGCGATGATAATTTTTAAACATACCAGTCAGTTTTTAATGAACTACAAAATTTTGTTGACATCCACCAATCAACTTAAATTACAAATTATGCCACCATGGGGATACCATATATTCTACAAATCCATAACATTTATTTAAACTATTATAACATGACAACACCAACTTTTCCACTATCCATATCTTTACAACGCCAATTGTACATGTAATAATTTAAATATCCATCGCCGGGTCCGAATTTGAGATCCTCGATGAACAACTTGTTTTCCATAAGATCAAGGCAATTAAAAACATCAACGTTTTTCTACAAAACATAGTAATAATCGTTTTTTAATAAAGAGTCAAGAATTATCACTTGTACATTAATTTGACCTACCAATTTTGCCAATATCAGCGCGTCCTTAATCAACGCTTGCAATCTACCTTTTATCGCTTTGTCATCAGATTCTTGGACTGCATAATAGAATAGATAAACAGCATTTATGGTTTTGTGCGTAGGATTTCCGATTACCGATGAAGGTAAGTAATAGAAAGAAAAGAAATCAGTCACTTTCTTCGTGAGAGGGTTCTAAATATATGAATTATTAGAAAAATAAATTAGGTCTTAAAAGTTAGATAACATGAATCAACCAAAAACCACTTTTTTTTTTATACCTCAACAACATAAGACCAAACGACATTTTCTTTTGTTAGAATCCAATGTTTAACGTCTTCATCAGTCTTAAATACTGCGACAAAATTGAATTTATTCATATATTCATTCAATAAAATTCTAACCGATGTGACATCTTTCTCTTGCATCGGTCTGATCCCAGGTGTCAAAGTTTCAGACGGTAATTTGAATTTTTTAATTAAACGCGACATCGTAGTGTTTTGAGGCAAGCGTGAAAAGTTTGTTTCAATCAATTTTTTAGGATTGAGAGAGCGATGAAAATAACTTTATATAGTGATATTAATAATATTAGTATCAGGCTGTTAGTAAACAAATTAGATTACTATATCTATGCATACCGAGCTTTAGAAATAGGTTTTGGTAGAACAACACCTGCAGTATAAACTGCTTGAAATATTCCTTCAAGATGAGAACGTCGCGTAATTTCTTTAATCAGCACAGGTGCCAATCGTTTACTCCGAAGTTTTTTATGAACACATAGAAAGTTTATTTCAACAAGGTGTTGTTGTCTTTTATATATAGATAATCGTATATTATTATAAAAAACATTATAGTTAATTATGCTTAAATCAAACTTACGAATCATAAATTCTAATGTCGGCAGGGATTCCGCTAATGAAAGCAACAAGACGTTTTGTGGCGCTAACACGAACGCCTACGTGCCACGTTTGTTTATATCCTGGTGGTTGCAAAGCCCTGAACGTAAAAATAATGAGTAAATGATATGTATAATATACGACATAAATAATAATGCGTTTAGAACATACCATTTCAGGAATTCACCAGAATAATCGAAACGGAACATTGCATCATCATCTTCGACATAGTTATTTGTTAACAGAGTGTACAGTTCGTTTAGCTAATGAAAATCCGGAATGCATGAAGCTAAAACACGAATGATAAAATATGCAAAATATAATTAAATACCAATATACCTCATTTTCATTATTCAAATCTAAAATTGACCATTCAAATTCTTTTGGTAAAAGATACGGATCTTTACGAATTTGATCATGTGGAGTGTTCTCTTCTATTGGGCCATTATCATTAATTATTTCTCCTAACAATTAAATTATTACATCGTAGTAAGAATATACCTTAGAAATATAAAAGCATTTGAATCATTGAATGGAAATTACCATGTTTTGGAACCGGCTGAGTACTCCAAAACTTATGAGAACTCATATCCTTTTGTCTTTGTGAGCTATTGGCACTTGGCTGAGGCTGTATAGCCTCACGAATGGCTAGTTGATTTACAAGCATTCTGACCTTTTCTTGTAATTCTGCTTGTTTTGCCGCTGCAGTAGCGGGAGTATCTTCGACAGCTGAAGTTGAATTCACGCCATTTTTAGCTGCCTTTTTTCGCGCCTTTTTCATGTTTTTTTTTTCCTGTTTAACCCGTAATTTGTCAGCGGAACTATTTTCACCCTCTCCGTCATGACTATGTTCTTTGCCATCCATTTTCTTCTACGTAAGAAAAAGGATAAGGGATGACGAAAGCAATAATTTGATATATATATCAATATATTATTATATATATCTATTAATGACATCGATGTGCAATGATTATCATATGATACGTCAAAGAGAATTTTAAATGTCTTCAATAAATCTTCAAGAACGTCAAGAATTAATTCAAGCATATGAAAATCAATTAAAAGAATATTATAAAAAATTTGAAAAACTATTAAGCGAACTTTCATGGGATATAGAATCTTTAAGAATTCGTGAACAGGTTTTTTTTATCAAAGCAATTCTTATTTCGAACTTGAAATATTTTTATAAATTCTCGAATAAAATATATCTATAAATAGGAATCCAAGTCATCAATAACGTGTCCTTTTAATTCTGCTCATAAAGTTCCTACAAAATCTTACGAGAAGCATTATAAAAAGTGTGAATTAAAGTATCATGGAATTACTGATTGTGGAAAGGTAATGAATAATATTCGCATTAAAACTTTTTGAATTTCGGGATCTCAAGCTTATTGTAAGTACTAATAATTATTGCCATTTATCATGTAAAAGCGAAAACGTCTACCAAGTTCGACTTTTTTTTACGAAAACGCACCTTCTGTAATAACTTTGATTAAAGGTTTATTTTTTTTTTATTTTTTATTTTTTATTTTTTTCCCATGAAATCACGCGTATTTGACAATCTAAAATACTAAAAACTAAAGATGATGTAAAGAAATCGCTAGAAAATGTCAAGGATGGGTCTATGAATATTGGAGTGGGTCAAAGTTTAACTGTTAGTCAAAGACTTGAAGCATATGAAAGGGAAATTGCGATGTCTAATCAAATCCGAGAAGAAAATCAAAGACGAAGGCGCGACGAATATCAAAATTTTGACGAAGTTTGGAAAGCCGTTCAGAAAAAAAAAGGTATGCATGCCCCATTTTAATATTAAAAATCAATAAATAGATAATTCATAATTGCCGTCTGATTTTATGTGTATAGGAGAAAACCAAGGGCAAAAGTCACGTACTGAACTCCTTGCTGAACAACGTGATTACAAACGTCGAAGGAAATCTTACCGAGCAAAAAATATCAAGATCACCCAACGTACTCCAACACAGGTAAATTAAATTAGATTAAATAGGCTATCAAGCATTTTAATAATAAAAATATTATATTTTAACTTATAGGTGCACAGAGATCTCATAGCAGCATATATGGAAGACTTCAAACTGTTGAGGGAATTTGAAAAAGAAATGGAGTCACAGACTCAACAACCTTAATAAAAGTTGGAAATTAATGAATGAATGAATGAATACAGACTAATGTAGATGTGACTAATAATACATATTATGAAATATTTTCAATGATTAATATTTAAATAATGAATATAAATTAAATCATGAACTTAGGGTAGCTTGATAGACCATCCCAGTTTTTTTATTCTTTGCTATAGCTTTCACATCCGTTGCGCCAAAAAAACTAACGAAAATTCCACGAGTCGTTTCTTTCCAGATTGTGTGTCTGAAAGATCAACTTTAAGAGTTCCGTAATGTTTCATCCCAGGTTCATCACAAAATCTCGGATTTATTTCCGGAGAGACATAAATTTTAAACGTCATATCCCTTTGATTTGGGTCGGACGGTCTTGCAACGTATCCAACCGTTTGATTGATCTTGACTACAGTATTGGCTTTTATCAGTGGATAAAAAACATTCATATAACCGCTTGAAGTTTTACGTTGAATTGGATCTCCCTTCTTCCATTTCATCACAACTTGAACACCATATGTATACCTTAGCGCCCTTGTTGTACCTGGTTTGAATGGATCAGTAATAGGGTTTCCTTCTTCTGATATGTTAAAATTCTGCATCTTATTCTCCAATCCATGCATTAGACCATCATTTGGCATACCCATGCCTTGCACACCTTTCGCAAGGTTGTACTGTACTGGTGACATGTTTGGATTCTGTACTGGTGACATGTTCGGATTCTGTACTGGTGACATGTTCGGATTCTGTACTGGTGACATGTTCGGATTCTGTACTGGTGACATGTTCGGATT